CAGAAAGAAACTGCAAATGATAGTTTCGGCAAAGGACAACATTAAGTTGTTTCGTCGAGAAGGTGAGAAGGGAACATGAATTTAATGGAAATAGACTCCAGAAGTTAAATACTGTACATGTAATCAGTCGGTTGTCATAGTGCTGGGAGATGGGAATTCATTTTCAGAAAACTAGTATAAAATCTGCGTAACGGATGGCTTTCATGTTCGCATATTTTAATTTGTATCGATTGCAATTCAAATTATTGGCAAGATTTTTGGGACGAATTACAATTAAAAGTTGCGCATAATTGTTATTGAAACCATCGTTGTAAACATCCATTTCCTTCTTGTATTCAATCCTAAAATTCGACCCTCATTTTCTTTTATGGACAACAAGCCACAAACAGTTTGACTTCATTCAGTGCCCCCTAGAGAATCTGTGCATATAGAGATGACTTATTAAATAGTCACCTCACGACAGATTGACTCGAGTATTATGATGACAGATTGACTCGAGTGTTATGATCTCATCACAATTTGCGTGTGTCAACAACGCTGATTTCGAGTTTTTGTCGCCAGAAAAATGTCAGATGATACACAATTTGGTATTAACTAAAAAGGGTAAGCAATGATTTGACAACGATGACAAGTTCTATTTAAAACACACCCACGCAGATGCGGACACGGCGGATCTGCAGCAGTTAGACATGAACGTACAAGAGGAAGTTAGTCTTCCAGGTAGGAATTTGAGATAATTGCATTTATTAAATTGAATGTACAGACTTTTATAAACAACAGTATTTTAGTTATACACCAGTAAATCCAGTCCAGGGTTAAGCCGTACAACCCCTCTTGCCAAAAGTAAAAACTGTCAATCTTGTACTGTGTGACTTATGTTAGTGCTTTCGATTACTTCCCCGCGCGATTTACCTCTCACGTTCTCGCGCTTACTCGAGTCTGGCCAAAGTGACCGACTCGCCGAGCCGCTTACGTGGGTAAGTATCCCATAAGGCCATGCAACGTCCGGCGGGCGCCTCAGGCCGTGTCCGAAATGAGCTTCCACGGAGCATGGAGCTAAAAACCCTATGTAGCTCTAAGCACGGAGCTACGGCGACGAATTTTGTCAGCGCGTCCCGCGTATTTTCACTGGGCATGGACGAGCTCTAGACATAATTGATTCGGATGCAGCCTGGGAAAAATGTTGCAACCTGACGCCACTATCACGATTGTGTACAAAGCCTATGGAGAGTCGAGAACAAGTATTTCCTAACATTCCTTCTCGATTTATCAGTTTTAGAGGGGGCAGGGACATTTTACCCCCCTCCCCCACCATTAAATTTACACCATTATGACTTACCGCCTCTTTTTCCTTTTTTTTTTTTTTGGCTTTTTTTGGCCCCCTTTGTCTCCCCCCCCCCCCCCTCCCCCCACGCGAACGCCCATGGGGTAAGTAAGCTGAGGGAAGTAATCGAACACACTCATCATATATAAAAAGGGTGAGCCGTGTTTTGACAAC